TTGTTTTAGTTTGCGGATCGCGGATCCGAGCTAGGTTTTTTTTCCTCGTCTACATATAGCTTTGGTCTTGCATGACTTTGCTATTTGTGAGCGTGTTTTTTGTGTACGTATGTTAGTGTTGGCTGTGTGCATCCTAATTATGCAGAGGCCAGCTGTGTGCTCATTGAATTTGTATCCTCTTGATACTTTATCTTGAGATAATAAAATTCACCCTTTATCGAAAAACAGCGGCCCAACACCCTGTGGGTCCCAAGATCAGTCAAAGAAGGAAAGCAGTCAACAATAAGTAAAATTATTCCAACCAGTGCAAACAGACGGCACGGATTGCTCAGGGAGAAATCAGACTATGGAAAATGCGTCTCACGGGGATGGCATTAACGTCGGCCTGGTGAGTCACGCATAAACTTGGGAGTAATTTGTATCAACACTATGGTAACTTCGAGATAGGGGGAAAATATTATAACATACCACTGATAACTTGTGTAAATAGGGTATTTTTTGCACCCCAGACCTGATAACGGTCCTGGAATGCTGGCAAGGGAGCTCAATATACTGCAAAGAAATACTATGAGCATCCATAGACCTATGTGGCTAACCCAATCCTGAACTGGATTTGGAAAAGATGTTGAACCATGTCAATTAAGATGTTTGCATGGCTAGTTATTGATGGACAAAGTGAACACAAATGATATGATTCAGAGAAGACATAGGAGAATTGAGGATGGCCCTGCTTGTGTGCTCTGTCACTCTGGAGTAGTCCTGGCCATCTCCGGCCCGGCCCTGTCAGCCCACCCAGGCCCGGCCCTAAAATCCAGGGCCTAGGCCCGATGGGCTTGCCCATGGGCCGGCTTGGGCCTGAGTTTTGGGCCCACCAACAAGGTCTGGACGGGCTTGGGCTTGGCATATTGGCATTTTAAGGAAGAGGCCCGGCCCACGGCCCTAAGCCCTAAGGGCTTTTCAGGGCTTTTTACCAGATGATCCAGGCTTGGGCTTGAAAAGTAGACCCAATGGTAGGGCATGGGCCCCAGTTTTCTGCCATGGGCTTTTTTAGGCCCGGCCCAAGCCCGGCCCGGCCCCTTTTTTAGGCCCGGCCCAGGTATACTCTGGAATCCTGGAAGACAGGAATCACTTATTATTTGAATGTAATTTCAATGCTAGGGTTTAGAATTATCTTCAGATCCTTTGGCCTCCTAGTCAAAACATGGTGGATATTGTTGTTCAAGCCAGAAGGGAGTTTGTGAAGCCTTTCTTCGCTGAGGTGATCTTTCTCACTTGGTGGAATATATGGACAGTGAGAAATGATAAGGTCTTTAGAAAGGTGAGACCAAACGTTTGGGAAATGGAAGGCCGGTTTTATTCATGATATTTCTTTGATAGCTCACAGGATCAAGACCGGGCACAAGGAGGAATTGTTACACTGGATAGCTTTCCTTCCTCCTTGAGTCCCTTTTTACCCCTTGCTAATTTAGCTACTCCCTCCGTTCGGAATTACTTGTCACAAAAATGGATGTATCTAAACGTATTTTAGTTCTAGATACATTCATTTTCGAGACAAGTAATTCCGAACGGAGGGAGTAGTTCTTTAGATTGGACTAGCTATGCCCGCGCGGCGGCACGCCGCGCCTATTGATACATTATGTGAGAAATTTTGTATATGGTGCTATTAAACTTTCATAAAGAAATTATCCTATTAACTGTTATGTTTTTGCTTGTTCACTTTACTTTTTATGTTATGATGTATATACAAAAATCATATTGGTAAATCTTTCATAAAGAAAATCTTTATTGAATGAAAAGAATCATCACGTCTCTGTCATATTTTTCTGTTTGGCTGGAAGATATTTCCTGTTGGTAAATCTTCTCATCAACCTTTCCGCAAGGGTTTTCTTTTCTCCTCTTTTATTTGATAACTTTGTTGAATTTTCACAAAAAAGTTCTATTGAATGGTGAAGCCATCCCGGGACACCGCGCCGTCGTGATATATGATCTTCATAGGCAACGCCTCAACACTATATCCTAGTATATAATAACAGTGTGTATTTCTAATCAAGCAACCAATTTCAAAAAGCAGGAAAAATATGTTCAAAATACTTAGTGATTGTCTTCGGAAAAAAATCTTAATGATTGGCTTTCCATTTGAGATACTGGTGTACTACCATGAGCCATAACTTATGCTACATATTACACAGGTGTTGATCATTGATCAACCCTAAAGTATTATTGTTGTTCAGATCAATGATAAAATTAATTACTTGACAACCCTATTCTCATAAAAAGCACTGAAAATCAGAGTGCACGATATCCCTTGAACATGATTTTCTTGGTATGAAGATCAATTAATCACAGGAAAAAATGTCATGCTGCAAACCTATATATAGAAGTACCTCATTTAGTACTCCCTCCATTCCATAATGTAGTGCTTCCTCTATCCCCGTGCTTCAACTTTGACCGTAAATTTAACTACCAAGACCGATTGCAGCGGGAGCAAAAATTATATTAGTAAATTCGTATTCGAAAGAAGTTTTCAATTATATATTTTTTTTCTCCCGCCGCAGTTGGTCTCGTTGGTTAAATTTATGGTCAAAGTCGGACCTCGGAAAGCGCGGGCGCACTATATTTTGGAATGGAGGGAGTATCATAAACTGGGAAGGCTCTACTAATTAGAATGTACATACATGGACCCAAATTTCAGATGTGACATGACGAAACTGCATGCACCCAAGACTGAGAACTACAGAAAGAACTTCGAAGAAGTTATGAAGAGACATTTTTCAAGTATGGAGTTTTCTCAAAGCATAAATGAATGGAAGAAACACAGCAAGAGAGAAGCTGCAATGAACATCATTTTGGTTTCTACAGAATGCATTATATATTATATCACAGATTCAAGAAATAACCATAAAAGATGTAAAATATTGTAGAAGATTACTCTCCGTCCAACCATCCTTCTAGTACACTTGCTCCCTTGTAGACATTAACACAAATACACGTTGGCATGAACAAAAAGTAGCACATCCACGGGGATTAAATCAATCAAGCTAATGCTGGAAAAAAATGAATCAAGCTAGCTCCATTAACAAAAAGTAGAACTTGTCCTCCATTCAGTATATTTTGGTGTATAAATAAAATGCAAAGAGAGCATCAGGGTTGGGCTGAGCATACAGACCTTGCTGCGACTGGAGGCGATGGAGCTGAGCTGCTTCGTGATGCTTGCCATCCATTTACTGCTACAACCTGAGAGTGAGAAGGGAGGATAGCACATCCAAGAACTGCAGTAGGAAAAACTGACCGCCAACAGATAATAAAATTCTGACACTAAAAAAGGTGTATGTATTTTGCGAGAAATGGTTGGTATTAGAGCTAGGCAAATATTGCACGACAACTATTCTAACTGAAAGTATTTTGCAAGAAATGGTACTGCACAACAGAAGTCGAACATGCAACTGTCTGCTCTTAGATTTCAACACATTTTAAAGTGCACTTATTCAGAAAAGCATGCAAATAATAGCCTGTATATATAGAGCAACACCACCTCAGTTTCTATTACTTCAGTAATAAGGTTCTTCTTTATTCATAGATGTACATGTAAACTTGTACAATCAACGGAAAAATACATGTGATAGTAGGTAGAACTACTGTTCTAATAATCTCTCATAGTCACGTGCTCATGCTATGAAATATATATTTCTCAGAAACTAATAATTGTCTCTGAAAGTAAGGAAATACAGCAGCTAGAACCTGCTATGTACAATGGCATGAACCCACTTGCATGCTGCTACAGTGCATGTACTTCCTCTGAAATTAGATGTAGAGCACACTAAATTTCTCGCAAACTTCTAATTATCTCTATAAATAAGGATATGCAGCTCCTCGATGTCGATCATGAGCTTGTAGAAGAGCCTCCCATCCCTGTCCTACAAACACATTAATGGAACAATTAACTGAAATGCATGCTAAATCTGCCTTAGAAGAAGATGGACGCATGACTCGAGAGGGAGCTGACCTGAAGACCCATGAGCATATAGCGTGTGATGTGTTCTGTAGCAGC